CAGTCGACGGGCAGCACAATATTATATGCACAAAGTGACTATACTGCCACTCGCAAGGCTTCAATAGACGGACAGAAGCCGCTCCGTATATCGTCGTATTATTTTCCATCCAACAATTAACGATAATCGGCCAGCATGACTAATTAATCCCTACGATTGACTATTAATGGTTATGTATAAGCGACGACTGTTTGTCCAAGCAGATATATCGCGCGATTTATTCGTCTGAAACAGAAATCGGAATATAAGAATTGAGAAATTTTAATTATTGTTTCGCACGATTTTCATGCACGGATAAATAGTTATTTTTATATGCTTGAATTCGATTGTGTCTCGCATCGCGCTTCTCCGAGATAATTTCGCTTACATTATTGTGTATCGATTGAGAACGCGAAGTGATACACGATTTATTCAGTCGAGTAATTCAAATAAAGAAAGATCCACGACCTCCCCTCTCCCCTCGATGAGAAACAAAGATTTCCGAGCAAAATCGATTATTTTGTCATTAATCAGCGATATCTCATAAAATTAATTAGTGGACAAAGATAATCGTCTACTTATTGAAAGCGCTAGGGTCTTAACTTTTAGACGAGACCAATTAAGATTATCGAGCTGGATTTTTCCAAACAAAATTAATGTCGATTATGTTGATCCGCGATTTCGAAAACATAAATTTCGTAGCAAAATCAAGTTTCTTTATTATTAATCGACGATATCTTGTAAATTAGTCAACGGAGATAATTTATTGTGTACTTATCAGAAGCGGTAGAGTCTCAGCTGTTCAATAAGACCAAACATCGTTGCGCTGCAATGTTTTTTCAAGGATATTGACAATTTTATCGAGCCATGATCCAGATCAAGTGCCATAGTCGACCGTGCGCACGTGTGCGCTTTCCCTCGGTGGCGGCATATCGTATTTCAAAGTCCTTGTACTACGTATGTTCTCATACCTTTTTTTGGTCACCTGTCACCTGAGGCGTGAACTTACAAGCAAAAACTGCCGCGCAGCGTTCTTTCATATACATATGGTGCTTGTACCGGATTTTCAAAATGCCATAACTTTACGAGAAATGTACGTAGAGATGTGGGACAAACCGATTTTCTCGATTTTCTCGTCCAGTAAATGCCTATGTCGAATACCTACGTTCTTATTATGACACTAGCGTTCGTAACAGAATACGTAATAAAACATTGGAATATAACAAAAAATTGCCACCTAGAATATTAAAATTTGTATACATATAAAAAATCATTAATTATATCTTTCATAAGCGTCGTTATTGTTATTAAAAGAGTGCTGCTTGTTATACATCTTCGCCAAAAATACCGTTTTCAAAAGTATAGCAGTAACAGTAAAGAGCATGTTAAACATAAGTTGAGATATTGAACATCGGTGGTAATTATATTTACAGATTGTCATAGCTGCATAACTTTGATCAGGAATATTTTCAGCCTATCTATTATCGTTTAGCGATTAAATGTCTAGAAGATTTGTTTCTAAGCCAACGAATATTGATCAACTATCAATTAACGTCTCTCGCCCGCGAAAAAATGGGACGTAAAAGTGATACAGAATGTTATCTATCGTGCCATTGTATAAATGTGTGACACGCGCAAAACGCGCAACGCAGTCCAACATACGTAGGGAAAAAGAAAAGAGCCGCCAGTTAAAATGATGGCGGTCGGATTGATAACCATTATTGATTGCGCGCGGTTTTCATGGACCCCGTTCTAAACGGTTCTCTGTTTTTCTTTTATCACCGTGATACGCGCGTACGCCTCCCAAGCTAAACCATCGCGCGTTCGATTGCACATTTAAAAGGAAGTAAAAAAGACTAAGTGTGGCTCCATACAAATTATTTTCCGGAGCGTAAATTAGTGGTTCAGAGCGATCCGTTCGAGTTTTACGATACAGATTACGGTGCGCGGATTATGTGGGTATATATTTCACGAAGCTGTCGTCTCGCTCCCGCAAATTATTTTTCGGTTTATATATTGATCCGTGAGGATAGAATTGTCCCACTCCCGTGAGAGTCGCAGTAATAATTTTCGCAGAAATCATGGAAGAAAAATATCGTTGCGCTGTTAAACCTCGCACGTCGCGCTCCGCGGTGCCTCGGCTTTAAAAGTTCTCACTGAGAAAACGGATCGTAACGCGAAACTTTCGAAATTCCGCCAATGTATTATAAACGTTTCACTCTTATTCTCATAAGTTTTTTCAGTTCCTTACTTTATCTATAATCGAAGCTCTTTTCTATTACGTTTCATTTTTCACGCTTGAAGTAAAATGTCTAGTAATATGTTGAGCCATGCTGTAATTTAATTTAAATTTTTTAAGACGGAAGATATCCAGTATTTGATTAATTGACACTAAATGCAACTATTAACTTGTACGAAAATTTAAACTTGACATTTTTCCATTTCTAATCAGATTTTGTTCTTTGTTAAAATTAATCTTGTATCATGTCCTTTGCAACACTTGTATTTCATGTGTAAAACGATTTTTCTCTTATTTTCAAACTTTTATTGTGGAGTCATGCTTTTGTATTTAAAGGAGAAAATAAAACTTACAACATGAAAATTTTCCCACTTAATTTCATAACGCGCGAATATCAAGTGTCCACAAACTGTGGATATTTTGAAAAGTATCGAAGTTATCGAAAGAAAGACGACAGAACGACAAGCTGAGTTAGCGGTGGCTGGTAGCTAGTGGCAATCGGACAGCACAAACCGGCGGATAACATACGACGTCGAAAAATTCGCGAAAAGTTATCCACTTCCTTATACTCTTATTTGCGCTCTATTCGGTCGTCGCACACGTCGTACGCGATATAATTTATGAATTTAATATTCGCGCTTCTCTTTCGCTGATTTCTGTTGCCAAGTAGCAGTTTCAACCGACATGTGCTGCGTTCCGTCTTTAAATTTAAAGAGTAAAATATTAAAAATTATATAAGAACCTCTAAAATTTCCAAAAGCTTTATGTAATTGATTAAAAAGAGCTCGTTAACTAACAAAACGAATACATCTTTTCGGTATTAAACTATTACGAACCGGCTTGCTCTTACGATCGTATCTGTGAGACAAATCACACAACAAAAGCTTTTGATTAGAGGAACCAGCTTTTTGCTCGCTCTTTGAAAAATTATTGTTGGTCAGCTTTCGTCCATTCCAGCCGATTACCGTTCTTCGCGCGACAGAATTTTGGTACTTTAGGGAGCTTAATCTTCCGTGACATGCTGACTTCGGCTCATTGGAAACTTACCTGGTGTCTCGAGGGTACGCTCGCATCTTTTGCCTCGCTAGACAAGCCTAGCGATAACAAGAGGGACGAGGGATACCATCGCCGCCATTGCCAACCCATTCTCCAGGGTGCCATTGTTCTGGGAAACCCTTCGAACCGATAAACCATCCGAGAACGGATTCGAGCCAGAAACTTTTCGCCGCTTTGCCAGAAAACGCGTGCAATTCTGCGAGATACCGTCAATTAACGTTTACAACGTCAGCGAATCGATACAATGTTATTATTAAAAGTTCCGAAAGCTCGATATTGCATTTTTAACATGCATCAACGCGTCCATAAAATTCCAGCGTCGGAGTCTGAGCGGGATCCTTCATACGCTACAAAAATGAATGAACGTTCCAATATGAAAATGTATAGAGTTAAGTAATGAAACGCGGCTCTGCGAAATATGCTGACCTCTGCGCGCCGTATTCCCGTACTCTTTGGGTTCTCCCACTCGACGCAAACTAAATTAAAACGTTTCCGTTGTCGCTTCCTACGGAGATGAAATGACAAACATACGCCAACGGCCGGCTGTGAGAACAAAATAACGTAAAATAGCTGTTATTTGACTTGCGTCTAGAGGCTCGCTGAGACCACGGTGTCGGTCCCTCTGTTCTGATTTTTATTGCTCGTACCGCCGTGCCGATAATGATAAATGTATGCTCCTGTGAGGCATCTCTCGATGCTTTAATTTCTCGGATGTCAGTTTCGCTTCTCTTATTTCATTCGACTGTTTGTTCTTTGAAACTGTTGCTCTTCCGTTCCTAGCGCATAAACATATAAATATGGAAATTGGTTCATAAGCACATGCATAAGGAAACGGATCAATCCAATGGATCATCTTATCCTGATTTATTCTATTAAAAAGTTTACTTTCCTTTTTTTTATTAAAGCCATCTCCTAAAAAATTATAACGTTTTATTTAACAGAGAAAACGTAATGCATATAGTAATATTGTATAATTAATCTTTCTTTGAAGGTGAGAAACACTTTTTAAAAACAACCCAAGGAAATACAAACTACAACGAGAACATTGTAATTCTACGCATTGTTCTGTTATCACAAAACATTTTTTTTCTAATTTTTCTTATACCTATAATTTGTAACAATTGCAAATCTTATCGAACACAATGCTCTTATTCATCGGAGAAATGCACTGCAACAAACATTTCTGAAGGAAGTACAAACAAGGACATTGCTATTAGTCGTATCGTTTCATTGTTAAAAAAACAATTATTTCTAATATCCGTAATTTCGAGAAAAATTGTATTCTTATTAAACATAATGCACCGAAGATCTTTGTTGCTTTATTTCTAGTAGCAAAAGTGCATCGTAATAAAAATACAACTCAAAATGTTTCCGTTCTACCTTCAATTTGGTCTTGTTTAAAAAAATAATAAATTAAATCACATTTTTACATTTTTTTACACGCAACATATAAAATTATGTAAGATAAACTTATTTAAATTGCTTGGTTACAATATTATACTCTTATTTTACAATTAGGTACAAATAAAATAAAAATAAAACAAAAATAACAAATAGAAAAAATTACATGACGGGTACGGTATTTTCCGTTCCTAAAAGTTTCATTGATAAGATAACAGTCTGTGCATTTGTAACGAGTGTTGTTATCAATAACAAGAATCGAACGATTTTAAACAAGACTGCTATTGTTTATTATCGCTGGTATAATGAAAGTATTCTAAGGAAGTATTTTCATATGTATTAAGTTGCAAACTTACGAAATACGTATCTAACCGTAGAGCTCAGTTATTTTATTATGTCCAACGGCAACTATTCGTTACGATGAAAATGAAGTATCTTCTATTTGCTATATTAATTCTGACGACCACAACTTTAAGCTTTGGTATTGATCTAGAAGATTTATATGATTGGAAATACGTTGATTTTCTCTGGGAAGATGAAATGCAGAAGGACTATATGGTAAAATCTGGCAAATACGACCCTCAGTCATGTGTTTTATACGACGTGGACAGGGCACCAGGTAGGCTGACATCATTTGAAAAATTAGCTAATCGATAGAGTTAAAATAAAACCCCTAAATAAAACTAAACAACACACGAGGAAACGCAAATGTGGATGCAAGGCAAAATGTGGGTAGCCCGACACTTGTAATTTTTTAAAATGTGAATTTATATTTCGCTTCTTTCTTAGCTAATTTAATTTCAATGTAATTTTATATTAAAATACAATTACATTTAGTTTATGTCAAAATGTGAAAATTTTTATACACAAGTAAACGCAATTTATTATCAATAATTAGAATTAATTAGAATTAGAGTTAAAACAGAAAATTTTCGGTGTTAAAAAAACACGTTGCCAGTTATGGCCGATTGTAGTTTAATTATTAGTCATGTACTGGCGTCAAATAAATCTTGATGCAATTTATTATATTTGATGTCGTTATGATTAACCATTCTACTAAACGTATTTTGATGTTGGTAAACGGATAAATTTTTTACAGTTGCAACAACATTGTAATGTATTTTCTATAAAACGTGCTTTAACGGCATATAGGTTTTTATAAACAACATTTTTGTAGATGGCAGAATATTCGTCACTTCAGTAAGGGAAGAGGGAGTACCAGCTAGTCTGATGACAGTATCTAAAAAACGTGGGCCAGGCGGACCACTTTTGGAACCATATCCAGATTGGTCATGGTATCGTGATAATGATTGTAGCGGCATTATAAGTGTATATCGGGTAGCCGTAAGTATATTTTGAAGCACTATATAGCTGTTGTAAATGATAAATATATACATAAGTTAATATTATTATGTATTACGCATATCTATGTTTGCACTAGATCAAATGTAATATGCTTTACGTTCTGGATTGTGGCAAAGTCGGGGAAAATGCAGTTTGTCCCCCCAAATTATTGATCTTCAATTTAAAGAGTAACATGCCCATTAAACGTATTATTATTCCACCTAATATCGCCGAAAACAAAAATGGCACTGGATTACTCGTGACGCCACTTGTTTATACTAAAGGATGCCATCCCTCAGACGATGTGACCGTTGGTATTTTTCTCAAACTTTATGTGATTACGTCGCAACAGTAGATTCCCTTTGTTCTACTCGTGTAAATGTCTAGTTAAGTCTAGTTAATAATAAGTAAATATTATACGTCTTGTCGTTTCAATCGAGGTGTAATTACTAGATCAATTAAATAATAGGATAACGTAAAAACACGTACATACATATACAGGTGTTTATGGCTGACATCGAAGGATACGGATTAGCGATATACAACAAAAATTCAGACGTCTTCTGTAGAATTGAATCAGATTACATGAAACCGACTAATCCCTATTTCACCATAGAAAACGAGAGTTTCTATCTAGAGGACGGTATTCTTGGCTTAACAAATATTCGTGATAGTAAGCAATCATTTTTTTAACATGAAAAAGATTATTTTGATTTTTATATAAATTTATTACATGGCTTGTTAAGACTTTTAAGTTTACGTAAGCTGATACTCGAGTTAATTTCCATTTATTTATTTTTCTTATCTGCAGTTTTATATACATTTGCGCTTGATTAACATAAACACCTTGAAAGTAATTATTGCCATAGTTTTTACAATTGTTAACATTTCTATTGCAAATATTTTAGAACTGTTCTATTCTCCCTTGGCGGGGAACGACATATACAAGATGAATATATACGATATACCAAAAGAATGTTTAGAACACAACGAAAGCCAAGTTGACAAATCAACTCAATTGGCGGGTACATTAAGTGGTCAAACAGCAGCGATAGCATCCGAACAATGCGCAATATTTTTCAGTGATATCCCTGAAACGTCCATTTTATGCCAAGATGCTACTAAAGAATTTAATTCTACCAATACGGTAAGATATCTAAAGACAATTTTACTTTGTATCTATTTGATGACAAATTATTACGAATATTCACTCCATTAATATTATTTTATTTCATAACAATTGTTAGTACAATCTTAATTTATAGAATATAAATTGTCAAATTTTAGGAACTTATTGTGCAAAATGCCGAGAAATTGCAGTTTGCAAGTGGAATGAAAGTTACAAATCGTGGGGAGAAGCTGATGATTTTAACAAATAGATTTCAGCGTGTTTTCGACGATACATTAAATCTAAACGAGACAAACTTCCGGATTCTCGCCGTGGTTATAGATCAAATACGGCAGGAGACAAATTGTTTTGCTTCTTGCGAAAACGATCATAAACCTGGTAATCATGGACACGGGCATCATGGGCACTGGCATCATGGACATGGGCATCGTGGCCATGGGCATCCTAGACATGGGTCTGGTAAACCTTGGTATGGTAAACCTTGGTATGGTAAACCTTGGTACGGTAAACCTTGGTATGGAAAACCTGGACATAGCTTTGATAAACATTATAAATATGATAAACACGATTAATATGGTAAGAGATATTTTTAAAAGATTTTTTTCTTAAAAATATATATATATATAATATATTTTAGGAATATGAGGACATGTTCAAACTTGTATGCAATGAATAAAAGTAAAAAAAATTGTAAAATGCAAACGTTTTAATATGATCGGGATACGTCAAACCTCGGTTACCATTCTCCTGTTCCGATTTTTATTGCTCGTACACCCGTGCCAATAATGATAAATGTATGCACATGTGAGACATCTGCCGTTGTTTGCGGTGCTTTAATTTCTCGGATGTCAGCGTCTCTTCCTCAATTTTATTCCTGGTTTTCAGCTACGGAATTATAAACGCGAATTCAATTTTTGTTTGCAATATAATTTTGTTATTAAATATCCGTTGACTTGGAAATTCCCTTCTTCATAAATTGAAAAAGAGAATTTCAGTTTACTCTAGTTAATTTAATAAGCGGCACGGCTACGATCTATCAAGAATAGTCTCTTGATAGACAGTAGGGTGACAAAGTAAGAATAATAAAGCATCTGTCGCTCTTCTATATTGTTATTGATTAGTACAACGAACAGAGCGAATGGAAATTAAAATCCACTTATCGAAATGGATGTCCTTCATGTTATAGTCATGTTTTATAATAGTAACTCCACTTATCGACTAATCAATATACATCACATAATTCTATATGTGTGTTTAAGTTTTAATACATTTTTTTAAGGAACAATTTGACAATATTAAAGAAAAATTAGTAACATGTTTGTTTCTATTATAGAATTGTAGTCAAGCTGTAATTGTATTATATGTATATAAAAGTTTTTATATAAAAATGAATAAGTCATCACAGATTTTATTTTTTATACGAAATTTCTCACGGCGAAGAGAAAAAAATCGATGTATTTCACTTATGTAGATCTCCATCAGACGCACACGCTAAAAACGGTTTTCCATTTTTGTTCAATTAGATGAGAATAATCTCATCAGAGTCATTCGTCGGATTGAAAGAGGATCATCCAAGCTTGAGCCATGTGGCATTTCGCGGTGTTTCAGAGGAATGAGTCGTGTGAAAAATGTGAATTCCGACAGGCGTGTGTGCAAAATATCTGCAAGAAAAGAGCAATCAATCCGGCTCAGAAAACGCGAGACAAAAGTGAAGAGCGAAAAAGGACACGATAAAACGTTGAAAGGATGAATAAACGACAGGTGCTTGTGTCGCGCAGTTCGTGAGCGACCACAATCACCAGTGAACAGTGGCAACAGTAAATCGTTTTAACTACCCCAGAGTCATTAAATATTGAGCTGGACACAAAATTAGTGGAAAAAGTTATGATGACTGTCGCTTTTGACTTATTTGTCGTTCGATAATCAGTGTAATACGATTTTTATATCAAAATGTCTCAAAGAATGCTGCGTTTAATTTATAAAGATAGATTGCTTAACGATTCATTATAATAAATTTAATACGGTGTATCACAAATGTGTCTAAACAGTTTAAATCTTTTAATTGAACAGTTGCAAAAATACTTATGTATGGTACATATCAATGTAACAAATATTATTGAAGTAAGAAAACTTCTTACAAATTCTCAGTATTGTCTCGCTTTGCAATATTTTTCCGAATTGTTCTTTCGTTTAGTATTGGTCTTCTACTTTGTATAACAATTACTGTAGACACTGGAGTGAACCGAGTAGAGGACTCAATGACTTTACAGTGGGATATAGTCCATCTTGATTCACTCTTAATGCCATTTTGCTTGGGAGAAATAGGAAATCCAATTTTATCCTTAACCCCGTTAGTCCAAGGCAGCGTTTGCATCGGTCTTAATAGAAGTGGGGGCTATCGCGAACGCGGTTTGCATTGCGCCTTTCGTGACGGCATAGCTCGAGGATAAACCGAGCGCGAATGTAAACCTGGATTCGTTTGAAGTCCGCGAATACTGGCGTGGCGAATTAACATTAACGTCCAATTCGCTGAAGAGATCCGTTGGCATTTTCGCCGTCGCATTTACGCGGTTGCGTCCGTACTTCCGTAGTCGACTGACAAGAAACATTGCGAAATGAAATGAGTAACAAGGTGAAATTTTATCGCAACGACAATGACGGTAGCTTCGCAATGCAAAAACTATGCGGATATTGGCAATAACAGGACGTAATAAACGTGCAAAATGAACAATGCACTTTTTCCAAAATGTCGTCTCGCAATCTAGAATTTTATCGGAATCCTATCATCTCCTACGTTCAACTTGTATTATATAATTTTAATTTCATTTATTTTATGATGTAACGCTGTAGTCGGTGATGTGTGTTATTTTCTGCCTCTCTTTTTCTCATAATAAAGATTATTTACCACTATTAAAATTGGGCCACATGTAATGTGAACCGCAATTAAATAAATTTTTAAGCATAATTCCATTAAACTTCAATAATACTTATAATATTCAAAAAGGCGAATTATATTATTATAAAAACTTGATACGAAATTTCATTGTTGATGAATAGGCATAAAATGTGTCACGCTATTCGCATATACTTTTTCATAATTAATAATAAAACTAATAGACAAAAGTTATACAGTTTAGGTCCGATTACTCCAATTAGTTCAACATTTTTTATTTCACTTACGGGGATTGACCTGTGTTATAAGACTGGCATGTAATTGGCGCACAGGATAAGATGGAAAGAATACGGTATATGGATTCACTTGTTCATTTAATTTAACTGGCTACTTACACCTATGCCCGGTCCTAAACGGCCCCTTTAAATTTCTAATTGATTTTATATCTTAAAGGACGTACCTAAGTTAAAATTGTAGTATTTATTATGTAACTTTGTACTAACGCGTCATTTCTCAAGGACTCACCGATAAGATAACACATTGCTCATTAGACCAACAATTATATTATCAATAATGCTGGATAAAATAGCTGTAAATAACGTCCGCTGGTCTTAACTATCGGTACAATGAAGATTAGCCCTGTTCCTACTTATATACCTACAGTAAGTTCTTATATAAACTTGAGTGAACAATGTACTAGCTATTGCCGTATACAGTCTCGTGTGATATATATTGCTGAAACTCACTTATTTTACTGTGCATACTGGCGAACACATTTGTTACACGGAAAATGAGGCACGCATTATTTCTTGTATTAATTCTAACGATTACAAGCATAAGCTTCGGTGTTGATCTAAATGTGGATTATACATGGAAGTACATTGATTTTACATGGTCTAGCAACCGCCAGAAGCAAATAGCAATAGACTCAAAAAATTATAGTGTCAACGCGTGCATTCCATTTGATGTAGATAAGGCACCAGGTAAGCTAATACTATTCAAAGAAATGACAATAATTTTATAGAAAACATTTTTATATACAATATATAAAATCTTATTGATATATTGTAATATTTATTTCAACGTCATTGAGAGCTACGATTAATTACATGTCGCTAATGAAACAGATATTATTGTGTAGCAACACAATTATAATATGTATATTTAAAATAAATACATATCTAACACCGCGCAACCCTATATTGTAGATGGTAGAATATTTGTGACTCTGGTAAGAGATGCGGGAGTACCAACTAGTCTGACGACAATAAGTAATAAACCAGGAGAAGGTGGTCCACTTTTGTCTCCATATCCAGACTGGTCATGGTATCGCGATTTTAATTGTAGCGCAGAACGCATTATAAGTGTATATCGGGTGTCCGTAAGTGGTACTTCATTTAGCTGTTACAAATAAATATTATTGTGTATTATGCATACATTTTTTGCGTTTAAAGATTAAATGCAATTTTCTTTTCGCTCTGGATTGTGGCAAATTCGGAGAACGCGCATATTGTCCTCCCCGACTACTCATCTTCGATTTAACTACTGATCGGCTCGTTAAAATTGTTCCCATTCCACTTAACATCGCCGAAAACAAAGATGGCATTGGATTACTCGTGACATCACTTGTTTATACTCCAAACTGCAAGTGCATTATAAGCAATCCGACCGTTAGTATTTTTTTCTCAAATTTTACGCAACAGTACATACCCCTTGTTCTGTACTCGTGTAAATGTCTGGTTAACATGTAATATCTTGTTATTTCATCTAAATGCAATTATTCTATTGATATATGTATACAGGTGTTTATGGCCGACATTCAAGGTTGGGGTTTGGTAAAATACGAAAATGAAAAATTTTGCAGAATCGAATCTACTTCCATGAAACCGACTAATCCCAATTTCACTATAAATGGTCAGAGTTTTTATTTGGAGGACGGTATTCTTGGCTTAGCAAATTATAATACAGGCAAGCACTTATTTTTGTATGAGAAAAATTATTTTGACCAATGTAAGAGCTCATTCCATTATACATGGTGTGATACAAATTTAAAGGAATAAAGGACTAAGAGCCGTGACAGGATGCTAGTGTCCAAATATTTCATATTTTAAACTTATTGCAAAAAAATATTACTTCAGCAAGAATTTGATTTTTTATTCTTTTGTTATTTATAGTTCTGTATATTTACGCTTAACATTACAACTTTGCGAGTAATTAATGCCATACAGTGGTTGTTGATGTTCCCATTGCAATTTTTTTAGATTTGTTCTATTCTCTCTTGGGGGGAGATGGAATATATAAAATGGATATGTGTAAGCTAAAAGACTGTTCACAACTTGGCGCAGACAAAGCTGATAAGCTAACTAAATTGGTGGGTAGACCTAGCCAAACAGGACCGATAGCATCTGAGCAATGCGCAATATTTTTTAGTAATGTCTCAGGAACATCCATTTCCTGCAAAGATGCTAAATCTGCTCCTACCGACATTGTAAGATATCTAAATATAATTTTTTGGTTTATAATAATACAGCTTCATTATACATAACAAATTTATTCGAATATTCATACTCTACTAACCTTATTTTGTTTCTTGGTAATAATGGTTAGATCAATCTTGATATTTATAAAATAACATTTTTATTTTTAGGAACTTATCGCAAAAGATTCCAAAAAATTGCAATTTACAAGTGGAATGAAAGTTATAACAAATCAAATAGAAAATGGAGAATCACAAAAGGAGCTGATAATTTTAACAAACAGACTTCAGCGAGCTATGACTAATACGTTAGACCCAAGCGAGATAAACTTTCGGATTATCACCATGGAAATGGAACAAATATGGAAGCAGACGAATTGTTTTGCTTCCTGCAAAGACCCGTGCTATACATCTGAACATTATACATCTTGGTATGATACACTTTGGGATTGGTTCGGGTAGACGTCAACCATCAAACTGCTTTGATAAACATTGTGAAAATAAATAAAATAAACATGATAAGTACGGTAAAAATTAAAAACCTGATAAATATGATGATGAATATACACATGATGGATGTTGGTAAGAAATAACTCTAATAAGTTTTTCTTAAAAAGAAGAAGAAAGCTATATAAAATATACATATATAAAACGTATACCAAGACTAAGAAGATGTATGCAATAAATTTAAAAGTATAAAAATACATGAGTTTTAATTTGATCCGGATACAGCAAACTTCGAACTTTAGTTCGTTTCACGTAACTTACAATTAGTGTTTATAAAATAGTAATGTCATTTGGTAAGCTGCAGATATTATGTAAAATTATTAATTGATAAATTAAAAGAATTGTGAATTATTTGACACCGTATTAACCTCGCATTATTTTTTTAATTAATTAACAATTAATGTATTTTGTTTTTAAGTTTACATTTTGTTGGTTATCAGAATAAATATTTCTTATGTAAGTACTTCCCAGCACAGAAAGGTTTCAGCAACATTGCAGCAATAATTAATCGCAAGATTGCAACATTGTCTAAACGCTGTGAAATATTGCTGCAACACTGCTGCAATCTTGCAGTAACGGTAAAATGTCCGCCTTCAGAAATATTACAATGTAATATTACAGCAACATAGCAATATAATATACCTATATACAATGTATTAATACTTTTTGTATAATTATATTATATTAATAAATAAAGAAAAAAATTCCCTTTCTAAAAGAGAGATGTTAATAGCGCAAATGTCGTTAATATCGAACAGTTGAGGCCTCTTTTCCGCGATGGCGATTGGTTTGTCGAAGCGCGGTGTGCTTTACTTCTCTTTTAGATTCATAGTAAATGAAGATTTGCGATTTAGAAATATACATTTGTATACGCCAACTATTGAGATAAAATCTCTAATCTTAGTAATTAGAATTTAAGTAACAATGATTTTTGTTTCGAAACATTTTCTCGATACAACAGAATTAATCGTTACTTTAATCAATACTAATAAGTCCGCAAAATGATACGTAAAACGTAGTAACAGTCACGGAACAAAAAAAGGACGAATTCTCAACGTTCGTAGTTGTTTTTCTCTCGGCGCGGTGACGTACGAAGTTTTTGCGTGCCGGCGTGTACCTGAAGGTCGCCCCGCTCTCACTCGCTCGCCGAACGTCGTGCTGGCAGGCAGCAGCGAGAGTCGCTCCGTGTGTCGTGTTATTTTCGCGTTATCGGTTTCCAAGACTCGATCGCGATGAATATAGGGATAAATCGCTATTGATTTGTACACTTTTATCAGTAACAAGTAACGTTCCTCGATTAATTATTGAGTTTCTACAACTTGTAATGAGAAACGAATTGCATGTTGAGGCGACGGCTCTTTATCAACGTATACGTAGATATTTCACGAGACTAACTCATCTAAAATATTAATGCAAACCGTGGTACTTTGTCGCGGTTACATCTCGTTTACGCACCGCGCTTTTAATTATCTATTTGTGTAATCGGTTCCATTTTCGGGAAAAGAGAGAAATTTGTACGACTTCGGCGTTCGCGCTGTAATTCGCTCTGCCGTTCTTCGCAACTCGAACGGGCAGGAAGTAAAGAAATATCGCCAATTCAAAAGTGATTTATCCATTCTTCTGAAGTTGTTAATTTGAGTAATTTGTGTAATAGAAAGTTACGCGATATTTGTTAATAATATTTCGTGCGTTTTGCGGTATCTCACATCGCGTACGGGAGTGCCGAAATTTCGCGCGATCGATGATTTTCGCGAGTGAGTGTTGTGCAACAAAGAAATCTGAAGGAGGAGCAGCGGAGAAGTTGGTGAGGTGAGTGTCTTACATTTTTATGTTATTTGCTACTTGTGCAAAATAAAGCATCTATTCTGTGTTTTTATTTTATTTATTCAAATGATTAGGACGAGGTTTCGAATAAGTGTTAAAGACAGATCCATACGTATAACATTTTGTGAGTTTATATTTAAAAGGAAGACTTTTAGTATTCTATATAATTATTTTAATAAATACCTGATTTTAAAAATATAAAGTATATTTAATACAATCATTTTGATTTTACATAATTAGTCCATAATAATCACATACATAATTGTGTTTTTACAGTTTAACATATGCAGTTGACGGTGCAACTCTGCTGTTGCGAATCGTATCAGTGATTACTTTTTATTTTCAATTAACGTTGCGCATACAATTACTTCTTTGCATGTATAAAAATTCTTAAAAACATACAAAGCTCGACCACAAGCTACGCGCGCGATGGTTCATCACTCCCGGTATCGTATCTACGCGAAACTCGCGCTAGAAAATGCTAAAAGCACCGAGAACGGCGCGCGCGACAAGCCGTGACTACCAAGTTTTAAATTCGATGCGCGACGTGTATTCGAATTGAAGCAAATTCATGAAAACAAAACGTCTATCGTCCGTAATTATCGCGAAATAATAATCATTACTTTACAGCGTCGTATTTCCGCGAGCGTTAGTTTGAACGTCTTTTGCCGCGCTCCTGGTACGTTACGCGCCTGCGCGTCGCATCACTCCGGGCCCCGGCTACCCTTGCGCCGCCATATTGGCTGCTACTTTCTCGACGCCGGTCGCTCGCTCCGCACTTCCTCCGTCTTCCACGTGCAAGCTGCGCACAGATACGGTATCAAGAGTGACGAATCGTCGCGGACGAGCAGTGTTAACACGTGAGTGACAGTGTGGCGCGTAGAAATAATCATGTTCGCGAGATAATTCGCGCGACGTTGCGTCGCGACAGGCTGTACTTTCGCGCGCGCGTTCCGCGTTACTCGTTTTCCTGCGTTTCTCGATTCACCGTCAGTACTGAGAATTTGCCATTCACGCCGCGTGCACTGTCGATTTTACATGGCAGTGCGTATCGGGACGCAGCCCGCGCGACGTCGGGATTGCCGAGCAAAGCGAGTCGAGCGAGCGTCACTGACGCGCGTGGCTCGAGAAAACGAGGTGTCGGCGAAAAAGACAGCGTCGGTGGAGCGACTCGGTGAGCGCATTCTTTGAATTGTCGTCATGTCCGTTTGCGCGCGCTTGCGTTCGTACCTTCGCGAATATCGTCGCAAATATGGCGAATGTCTCTTGCCGCGTTCTCGGTACGAAGCGCGACGTCACGTGACGTCATTTCGGCGAGGGTCGGACGCCTCCGTGCTCTCGGTGTCTTCCAAGCGCGAGTCTCGCGTGAATACGACGGTATCGACAGCGAAGGACCGTCGCGGACGAGGGTCTTAACGCACGAGTGTGGTGCGTAGAAGTAATCGCGTTGAAATGCTACGCGGAAAGAATTGTTTCGTAAAATTTATCCTGAAAATTATGTAATCGTTGGACAACATGACATTTCGAAGAAGTTTATGAGAGTTTTCGAAATTTTACCGTACATTTTATACTAGTAATTATATTTATTGTTAGTATAGAGGAAAGTCCCCTATTATGAGATAGTCTCCTAATACGAAGTAGCGGGATTTCTGCTGAATTAATAGGCAGCGTCTGTTGGTTCCGTCATGAATTTTTTACCTTTGGAGAAATCTGTTTAGTTGAAAATGGATTGGTGGCTCGTGTAATCGTTGCAAAGAAAGATTTGCGATTGAATTTGAAGTTGAAAGCCTACTCTCTCACATTAGAATCCTATCTCATAATATAAGACTTTCCTCGACATTTTACTGGTAGAATGTATGGTGAAATTTCATAAGACTCTCGTAAAGTTCATCAAAATACCATGTTGTCTCACGATTACATGATTTTCAGAGTAAATTTTAAGAGGAAACTCTCTCCGTGTAGACTCTTGGCGCGACATCGGCTACCTGTTACTTCGCGACAGATGAAACACTCGCGCGTGTTCCGCGGTACTCGCGTTCCCTAGTAGTACATCAGTACATTAGCTAAACAGTGGCCCAATATCGGTTATATTAGAAATGCATTGGCCAATATTGTCCAACGTAAAGCCAACATTGGCCATGGAATAAATGTGAATATTGCACAATAATAATTATATAATATTAAATTTACATTGAAAGTGCATTGGTCAATGTTTAACAAGAAGAATATTGGCCTAACATTGATATAATATTGCTGAATAGACATATTGGCTAAATAAGGGAAGGCGTCCATCTTGCAATATTGGACCAATATTGAGAATACTACACGGAGAGAATGTTCTCTGAAAATGTATCCTGAAAATCTCGAGATCGTAGGACAACGTGGCATTTTGGAGAACTTTATGAGAGTTTTTTTGTAATTTTACTATACCTTTTATTAATTAAATGTATACTAAGTATAATTAACAGTAAAATGTATAGTAAAATTTCAAAAAACTCTCATAAAATTCTCCGACATGCCGTGTTGTCCCACGATTACGTGATTTTCAGGATAAATTTTATAAGAAAATTCTCTCCGTGTAGATTTACATTATTTCCCAATATCGCGCCAATGTATTGTGCTACTGGGGCTATGTTTTACTCGCAAAATGTTGGAAGTGCCGAATAAAGGATCGCTTATTATTAATACAGGTGGCTCGAGGAGGTGAGACGACAGCGGGAGCTTTCTCGGCGAAAAGGCGGCATCGACGCGAAAACTCGGAGAGTGTACTGTTTGATTGGACAAATAATAGTATATTGTGATACATGTGCGGGAAATTGGCTATTGGCCACGAGTAGAGTCCCTGTAGTAAGAGTCTGGCAAGGGTTGACGCAAAATGGCGTCTGGTCTGTTCGTTATCGCTGCATTACTGCACTAGTGCAGTTAGTTCATTGCACTAGTGCAGTAATGCAGCGATAATGAACAGACCAAAGGTAACCAATAATAATAATAATAATAATAATAATAATAATAATCCCGCGTTCAGAGTACAGATTCGGGACACCTTATTGGTTCCGCCATTTTGCGTCAAACCAATCAAACTGAGAATATTTCTTGCCAGACTCTTACTACAGGGACTCTAGCCGAAGGCTCGTGCGCCCACCCGCTACTCGTGGCCAATAGTCAATCTCCCGCACATGTATCACATACTATTTTATATTATAAGTGCACGGAAAAGTACCTCTTTTTTGACAGTTACGTGCAAAAACTTTGAGGCTAACCTGTCATCTGTCGAAGACGGCCGGCGTGTGGAAGAGAGATCGGCAATTGTGCTGGGAGATAAACAAAAACAGCGCTAAAGTGTGCGGTAATAATTTTACCGCACGGCTTTTTCCGCACAGTTGACGCCATATTGCGTGCAAACTGTATTGTGTCGGCAAATGTCTATTTTGGGCACGAAAAACTGTCAAAAAAGAGGCACTTTTCCGTGCACGTGTGATATAAAAATTGTTTCGCGTGGAAACACGACGTTGTTGATAAGTTACCAAATATTTCGTAAA